GAAAGAGTGAATGTGCTGTGCTCTTCCTTTTGGTAGTCAGTAACAGCAACCAGGAGTTCGAGATAATCATGAAATGACAGCCAGTACAAGATCCAGCTCACGTGGTGAGGAAAGACTGGTGTGAAACAACAACACGAGGAACCCGAATATTGGACTCATAAGATGGACCCCCTTCAAGAAGTCCAGGAAAGCCTCTAAAGATTCACTGAACACGGAGACAAGATGAAAACCCTAAAGCGTGTTTAGATGAAGAAGAACTAGGTTGCTCTGAAAAACGGAACTATTAAGGCAGGGCTCTGTTGAGCTAGCCTTAACTAATGCAGCTAAGTCTTGAAGAAATCCTAAATGACAGTTTGGAAAAGAGATTAGCCTCAAATATACTATACATTTAGATTTCCTCATTTTTTGCCTTCTTGTTTTTTTACCAGCATTCCCAACTCTGTAGTCAAAAACCTACTCTTTATTTGCTGGCACACAATTTATTTTATGTTGTGCTTGCATTCTATCTAAGCGCATTGAAACAAATCTGACAGTATTAAATGGAACCAGTAAGTGTAAATACAATAGTCTTACAGACAAACCTTTTGGGACGCTGCAAATTATGACAATATGAAGAGACAATTCCTGCTACACTTGCAAGAAACAGATTGAGGTCTGGTATCAAGCACACAGGATTGGAGGAAAGTTTCTTCAGTAAAAGTTTTAGTGTCTCTGTGAAAGGAGACTGACAGAAATAAATCCTCCTCAATTCTTAGTATTTTATTTCATACAAGTTCCATAATAGTTTATATTACACTATGTAACTCTGCAACAAATTATGTTGTATCACTGAAAATAAGGCTGGGTTGTGCCGCAGCATTGTTTACATAATTAATTAGGAAACATCTTCCTCTTTCAATTATAACTAGCCTTGTGTAGCAGTTTAATGCCCTAGGGCATGTGTGGCTGGATTTGCCATTTTTTTACAAAAAACAAATAATTAACTACTTGCCTCCATTAAGTATTTCACAATGCTTTCACAGGCGGTGCAGTGTTCTGGCCATACCCTAGAGAAACCATCTTCTGCCGGTTTACATTTCAGCTGGATACAGCTACCTGCTTCCCATACATCAGCCGATCAGAGTTGCTGAATGCTTTGGAACAGCATCCGGGTATGGTCAAGGTCTGTTTCACCTCCAAAATTGCCACACTTATCAGCAATTTGACAGAGTAGTTCAGTTGGAGGCAATGTAATAGATCCCAGTCAGGTCACTTCACCATATGAATTGCCATCATTTCACCTTTGTAAATGAATGTATTTTATAAACCATTCAATATCTTTTAGTTATCCAATCTAATTTGATCCAGGGTGGCAATTAAGACCACAAAAGATACATACGCGTGGACATCAGTGACCCCATCTCTCCAAAAGCCACACAATAAACAGAAAAAGAAAAAAAAGAATTTTTCTGTTCCAAAGAAAAATGACTAGCCTCTAGTCACAAAGCTGAACAGATAGCTAAGCAGATAGCATTTTGGAAACATGTGCCAGGGACTGATCTTACACAGAGGAGAAATTTATTTCTGTTCGTAAACATTAACATTGTGCACAGCTTCGTAGAAAGAGAATAAGGACCATCTGATATTTATTTAAGAACTCCAAGGAAAAAAACAAGTTATCTGTTTATTTGCAAAGCTATATCAGAAAAAAAAAAAAAGCATCACATTTAGCAATAATTTTTATCATTACTGCAGAAAGGGGCCAGGGATTGAATGGGCAATGGATATTGAACTATCTTCTGTCTTGGGGAATCTTCCCTGTGATTCTACACTGCAAATCACTGCAGAAAGTTTGTTCTGCCACTGCCCTAGCTGTGCTTTTTTCTGTAGATAGGAGTGTACTTGTGGGTGTTATCCACCTGATAAAACTAAAGGTTTATAAAAATACTGGTTGCATTCTCTGGTGATTCACACCACCTGCAAATCTCATAACTCCAAGTGTAAGTCAGCAAGGACTTTGCCTCAGTTTAAACACATACTGAACAGATGAGATTGTGATGACAACGTGTGTTTCAGTACAGCTACAATTGCAATGATATTTATAAAATTTGTTTTCATTACCCGCACTCTCTGTGCTCATGTCTCCAGACAATAACAGCTTTGAATAACAAAGTATTCACATAAGATTGAACCTGAATTTTGTTTTCTCCCTATGCTTATGCACCCATCAAACTGGAAATTTCACCTATTAATGGTAGGAATGAATTATGATCTCTCATTTTTAGGGAAAGTACTTTTTTTTTAATCACTGAGCTCTTACAGAAATATATTTTAATTGAGAACCTAATGTTTTAGGGTGGCAGTGGAGTTGGTGTGGGTGTGAATTCAGTGACAGCAAAGAAGTTGGATATTATTGCTTATTTGCATCTCAGAAAAGTTAAGATGAAACAGAACTTGATGACAATCACACTAACCACAGAACAGAACAGTAACACTTAACATATGTTTCCTTGCCACCACTCTGTCAATGCACCATAATCCCATCTTGAAGAAACTGTCTTTAATGGTTCATTTAAACAATTTGTCTACCCCTCCACTCTCATACACAGCTTTCACAGCACCCATACCGGCAGTTCATAGACTGTCTGCAAGTCAGCACACAAACAGAAGGTGGGCAGGTTTAGGAGCACGCTGTGTTTGGGAAATAGTGTTGAAAATTACTGTCTGCAAGTCAGCACACAAACAGAAGATGGGCAGGTTTAGGAGCATGCTGTGTTTGGGAAATAGTGTTGAAAATATCATGTTTGAACCATGTTGATGCAAGCTGGGTGAGTTACTTTGTTGATTTTGTTGAGCAGAAGCAGAAACAGAAAAAACGTGTGAGAGACAGTCAGTCAAGAATGCAAAAAGACCTGAAACAGAATATAAGTCACTGTCTTGACATGAGAGTACAGGCAGCTCATAGAGAGATGCAGAGAACAGTAACATCAATAAAGGAGCTTAGCTATGGTATCCACCCGGCAGAAAGCTATGTCCTCTGCGCTCGCCAGAATGGATGTGGCAACTCAGAGCTCCCACGAAAACATGCAGCCACCCAGGTCTCAGGCTGCAGGGAGTACCAGAGCCGTTCGCTGGTAATGGATGGCAGTAGTGAGAACAGCTGTGTGAGGTGTGAGCAGGGGGATGATCTGCTCAGCCTGGTGGCAGAGCTACGAGAGAAAGGAGAAAGGTTAAGGAGCATCAGGGAGTCTGAGAAAGAGATAGACTGGTGGAACCATGCTCTGCCCTCCCTGAGACAGAAAGAGGAACAGTCACCAGAAAAAAAACCAAGATCAAGGGGATCCTGTATCCTTCTCCTGCTAGGCTGAAGTCAGTAGCTTAAAGGAAAGGAGTGAATGGAGTCAAGTCCACACTTGGGGTGGCAGGCGAACCCCCTCCTTGCCCACCTCACCTTCCCAGGGCCTCTTTACAACAGGTACGAGGATGTGGAAGGCCAGTCAATGGATGATGTGGATGATGGTCCATCTACACCAGAAGTGTTGCCAGGGTCAGAAAGGCCTACGCCATGTATCACAACCACCTCCACGAGGAAGAAAAGATGGGTTATAGTTGTACATGACTCCCTTCTGAGGGGAACAGAGGGTCCAATATGCTGGACAGACCTTCCTCTTAGGGAAGTCTGCTGCCTCCCTGGGACCTGGGTTAAGGACATCACTAGGAAACTTCCTAGCCTATTACCGCCCTAGGACTATTACCCATTACTGCTCTTCCATGTGGGTGGCAATGAAGCCACAACGCATAGTCCAAGGGCAATCAAAAGAGACTTCAGGGCCTTGGGACGGTTGGTAAGGGAGTCTGGAGCACAGGTTATTTTTTCCTCTCTCCTTTATTAATACAGTACGCTTGGGCTGTTGTCACCACCACAATTTTGGGTTTTTCAATAATGGGATGGCCTACACAGCACCAAGCCTGCTGGCGTCAGATGGGATTCACCTTTCTCAAAGGGGGAACAGGGTCTTTGCTCATGAGTTAGCGGGGCTCATTGACAGAGCTTTAAACTAGACTTGAAGGGCGAGGGGGATAATATTAGGCATTCCGGTGACAAGCTATGGGATGACACGCCAAGGTTAGCGGGACAGAGTGCTAGCATGGGCCCTCAGCCTGTTGCTCTGAGACGTGCTGGCTACACTGCAGCACACTTGAAATCTTACAGAGATGAGCCGGGGCTCCTGAGGTAATAGGAACTGACAGGGAAACACCAGTGAAATACCTCAACGGAATTAAGGAGTGTTCCTCTAAGAAGGTGACATGGCCAACAGCCCAGCTGAAGTGCCTCTACACCAATGCACGCAGCATGGGCAACAAAGAGGAGGAGTTGGAAGCCACTGTGCTGCTAGAAAGCTACGACCTAGTTGCCATTCCTGAAACTTGGTGGGACAAATCCCATGACTGGAGTGCGGCTATCGATGACTACAAGCTGTTCAGAAGGGATAGGCGAGGAAGGAGGGACGGAGGGGTTGCCCTCTACATCAAGAAGCTTATGGTTAAGAATTAGAGACGGAGGCAACAAAGGGAACCTTGTGGTTGGTGTCTACTACAGGCCACCTGATCAAGGGGAGCCTATTGACAAAGCCTTCTTACTCCAGCTACAGGAGGCATCGTGCTTGCAAGCTCTTGTCCTGCTGGGGGACCTCAACCACCCAGACATCTGCCAGAAAAGTACCACGGCAAGCTGTAGGCAATCCAGGAGACTCCTGGAATGCATTGAGGATAACTTCTTAAGCCAGGTAATAGACAGCCCTACCAGAGGGGATGCGATACTAGACCTGATGGTCACCAACCCAAGTAAGCTAATCAGTGATGTCAAGATTGGAGGC